TATTACTTACTTACTTACTTACTTACTTACTTACTTACTTACTCTTTCTTTTATCCCTTCATTGAGCAGGAGGTTGGACTTGATGGCCTTGTAAGCCCCTTCCAACTTCAGTTTTCTATTATTCTTTTCTGAAATTTTACCTTGCAGTTCTTTAAATGGAAAAATAAATTGGTATTTATTATTATAACAAAATGTATGTCTATGATACATATATAATGCTTAGCACAACAAAGCACCAAATTGTTTTGGGTTGGTTTTGGTTTTTTAGCTTTTTCTCTTCCATAGTAATGTGATTGTAGAGAATCATTTACTCCTCTGAGATTATTTGTCTCTAGTGGTAAACATCTTTTTTAGAAGAAGGGTGGGCTATATGAGTATAATCTATCTATTGTGTTTCTTCCTGATATGTTATGGCCATGCTTTTACATTTTAAGGAAACTGAGAATAAAGTGAATTCAGAGACTAGAAAAAAGTTATGATACCTGAACTGCAGTTCTTTTCTTTTTAGTAGTTTATTATGAAAGTTCTGTCACATCATTAATAACTGGCCAGAAACATATTAGTGACCGTGTAACTTGCTGTGACAATTTGGACTTTTGTTAGCAGAGACGTCACCTTGCCAACAAAAGTCCGAATTGTCAAAGCTATGGTTCTTCCTGTAGTGATGTATGGAAGTGAGAGCTGGACCATAAAGAAAGCTGACCGCCGAAGAATTGATGCCTTTAAATTGTGGTGCTGGAGGAGGCTCTTGAGAGTCAAACCTATCAGAAACAGGAGGAGAACAAACCTATCAATTCTAAAGGAAATCAACCCTGAGTGCTCACTGGAAGGACAGATCCTGAAGCTGAGACTCCAGTATTTTGACCATCTCATGAGAAAAGAAGACTCCTTGGAAAAGACCTTGATGTTGGGAAAGTGCGACAGCAAGAGGAGAAGGGGACGACAGAGGATGAGATGGTTGGACAGTGTCATCGAAGCAACCAAGATGAATTTGACACAACTACGGGAGGCAGTGGAAGATAGGAGGGCCTGGCGTGCTCTGGTCCATGGGGTCACGAAGAGTCGGACATGACTAAACGATGAACTTGCTGTGACTAATTGATGAGGTACCCTGGTGACACTTGGTTGCACAGCTTGGCTTGTAACCAGGCACATAACCAGGAGGCACCCTGACTGTCATCAATTAGCTGTAATTAGTAGAGGCAAATTATTCAGTCCTTACAAAACCAGCAAAACCATTCTGACCACAGTTCTCATTTCCGTCTTCCAAATGACAGCATTATATTCACTCCATTAATATATGCCTTACTATGTTCAAATAACTGTCAAAAATCCTGAGTATATTTCATCTTGTGAGTGCAAAAATAGGCAAAATGAGGGCTTATCTATATACATTTCCAGTTATCATGCCCTATGTTGAGTGGAATGGAATATTTTACTTCATCTTTATATCGCTTATCTTCATCATCATTTTAGACCTGAAGAGCTGGAAGGAACCTTGTGTATCGTCAAGTCCAGCTCCTGTCAAGGAAGCACAGTGGGAAATCCCCAATCTCTCACTCCTTAGCCAGATACCTAAACCACTGAGCTATCAAACACTGCATCTCAAGACTAGACTCAGCAGCTCTAGTTAATTAGCAAGAATCCATCTCCCATGTTCTCATCCCTGTTCATGAGAAATCACTTCTGTCTTTTAGAATGCTTCAAAAAAAAAAAAAAAGGTAGAATTCCTCACATTGGCTGAAATCTTGTTGATTAATATAGTAAGCCACAGCTAGAGCAGGCCCATCGAATCCACGGGGTGGATAAATTTGATTGATTCAGGGGTTATTCTAGTTGTGACCTACCACCCTAAGCAGCAGGATTTCGCCTTAAGGGTTTGTTTACTTATTATATTTATATCCCAGCTTTCCTCCATTGAGTTCGAAGTACATGGCTGTCCTCACGGCAAGATGGAAGAGCAACTGAAAATTGGAAGGGAGTCTATACGGTAAGTCAAACTAAGGAACTGATTGGGTAAGTTAGTTTCATGGCACAGTGAAGATTTCGATCTGCATCTTCTATGCTCTAATATACCACTGCAGTTTGGCATTTTCTCAAAGCCTTGAAAAGGCAAACATCTTGAGGGAAGAGCTTTAAAGTTAAGCCATGTGGCAAAGTGGTTAAACTTCAGTGCTGCAGTCTAAATTGTGTTCACGGCCTGGGTTCAATCCCAGGTGGCTGGCTCAAGGTTCCCTCAGCCTTTCATCCTTCCGAGGCCAGTAAATTGAGTTCCCAGCTTGCCGGGGGGGGGGGGAGGAGGAGGCAATGTATCACCTGCATAATTAAATTGTAAACCGCCCAGAAAGTGCTTTAAGCACTATGGGGTAGTGTGTATAAGCAGCATACTTTGCTTTCAAAATGTCCTAATCTAATTCTCTAGATTTAGGAAACATCTGGATATTCTGGCTAATAAAAGAGACACTGTGGGAATTGTGAGAAGTGCCTTAGTAATACTGCTTGGGTTTGGCTCCCTATTAAAGTGCTGGAAATACTTTACATGGATTTTTCTAATACAGGGTTTGTTACAAGTATCAAATAGGTATCGCTTGGTTTGCAGGTCTAGCTGATGCTGTCTGGTAGCTTGGTGGAGAATAGCAACATCAAGGTGCAGGAACAAAGAGGCTGGCCAGCTTATTTCAGGACTTGAGGCTGGAAAAAAACAAAGTGTGTTTGCTTTTTATTATTATTCTAAATATATGCTCCTCATATGAGCATCCCACCCCTTAGTAGCAAAAATTCTTGTCTCCCCTTCCAACCTTCAGTTGGTCTTCCATTCAGATATTTAGTAGGGATTTCCATCTATTGAACTGCTTGTTCTCATCCCGGACCATTTATAAGTCATCTGCCGGTGGGAAAGGGATGGCCTGCTAATCAAAATATTAGGGCTGAAGGTATGAATGCCTTAGACCTCAAGCTACAGGGCTTATGAGAGCAAGAGTAATTGACAATAACATGAAATAAGGAGGTAATATTTATGACATCTGTTTAAAGTGAAGGAGCACTTTTATGCTGCAATTGTTTGCACTGATGGGACTTATACAAAAATCATGTAGTTCAGGAAGGAAGCAGCAGGTGGCACAGTCGAGCCTTGAATGTACCTAACTAATGCTCAATGCAAGATTACTCCAAATTTGGCCAGGTAAAGAAGAAGAATTTCCCCCTTTTAAAATAAAGGGAAACATGCTCCATTTTCTAGCAGAGTTCACTGTTACAGTCCGTTTAGGAAGCAAAGGGTATTGTGGCACCTTAAAATTTGTTATGTCCTATCAAGTCAGAATTGACTTATAGTGACCCTAATAGGGTTTTCAAGGTAAGTGAGGTATTTTAAAGAGTGTTTTTTTTTAACACTTCTGCTCCCCCAGTGAGGTTCCGTACCCGAGCTGGATAATCGGACCTAAGTCTCATGAGTCCTTCTTTGTCATTCGGTCAACTACACCACACTGGGTACCCAACACCACAAAGATGAGCAGGGTTTAATTGGCTTAAGCTTTTGTGGACACATATCATTTCCTTGGATGTAAAGGAAGTATCTCTCATTTCCATGTGTGCTCATAATTGTTTGTTCTTGCATGTGGGATGAGGGGCACGAGCAATTTCAGGAATGGCTCTGTCATTGACCTTCATGCCTCTTCCTCCTCTTCCACAGAAGTTTGGGAATATTCCACCTCCCAGATGTTTTGGGTTATGGTATCCACAACACCTTATCATTGACTACACTAGGTGAGGTCTGTGGGAGTTGTGGGCCAAATCTTCCATAAGGTCATAAGTTGCCCATCTCTATATTTAGTTAGGTGCTGTCAAGTGGGAACCAACACATAGTGACCCTAATAGGGATTTCAAAATAAGTGAAATATTTAAGAAGTGGTTTTACCAGTGCTACTCCCCCCCCCCAAGTAAGGTTTCAGAGGAGAAGGGGACAACAGAGGATGAGATGGCTGGACAGTGTCATTGAAGCAACCAACATGAATTTGACACAACTCCAGGAGGCAATGGAAGACAAGAGGGCCTGGCATGCTCTGGTCCATGGGGTCACAAAGAGTCGGACACGACTAAACTACGGAAAAAAAACCAGTAAGGTTTCATGGCCAAGTGGGATTTCCAACCCTGGTCTCCACAGCCGTAGCCAACCAGCTACATCACACTGGGAATATATCTCCTAGAAGACCATTAAATACTGCACTCTTGAAGAAAGATCATGTCACTGCATGTCCAGAATGAAATAATCTAATCCACTGGATTTACATGTTGATAATTCATGAGTCACTTTCTTGATGTTAGAATGTTTAATTAGCTTCTTGTTTCTTTTGGCCAAGTCAGCTATTCATGTTTTTGCTTTGAGCCAAAAACAATGTTTCAGGAGATACAGTGAGTGAGATTATTCCCTTGCATATCTAAGATGAATCATCCGATTTCTGTCTGCTTTAGCAGGGCAAGCAAGTTTGGATACATTTTTCAAGAAAAGAAAAGTTTCTTCCCAATGAAATCTTGGAACATTCTATATCAATTTTTTGTTTTCT